AATATAACCAAGAGCAGCTGTATCCCCCAGGAAAGGGGCCTTCCATTTTTATCGTGCTTTAGAATTTCCAAAGGTTGTAGCCTATAGCAGTCTAGAATACCCAATCTGGAACCATACTGCCAGGGTTTCAACCATTGTTCTGCCAGTTACCAGCTATGTGACCTTGGGCGACTTAGTTCACTTCTCAAGGCCCTTCTTGTCTCATCTGTATAATAGGAAGAATAAAGGTATGTGCCTCATAAGAGTTTTTTAGAAGGACTGAATAAGCTATTATTTGTAAAATGCTTAGAATGATACATGGCACATAGTAAGCGTTATATAATGCTCCGTTCGCTAAACATATACATATTACATACATATGTTAATGGTGTACATTATATACATACGCACACACACATATTATAAGTACTCAGTAAAGTTTTACATTCACACATACGTAGGGATGCACAATTGAATGTCCACAATGACCTTGTAAGGTGAGCAGAAGTATAAAATAAATTCCCCCCACCTGGTAACTGGTAGACTCATTCTTAGAACCATGCCTTCTAACTTCTGTCCCAGTAGTCAGAAAGTAAAACGTAGAACCTTAATACACTCATCTTCTTCAAACATGTGAACGGTTTTCAGATACATAATGGTTTCATGACACTAAATATTAAAAATCGCTGTAGATATTTTAATTATTTTGATTTAAAGTACAGGGGTAGTGTCAGATAAATTATATGGGTCTGTCAGTAAGGGAAAAATTGTTAACTTCTGTGCAAAAGTTTTTGCATAGGATTTCGCAATTGCAAAGAAATCTATTTCACTGTATTCTTCTGCAGTTAAGAAAAGATGGAGTAGGAAAGATATGTTGAGTGTGTTCAGTGGAGAATTATGCATGAGGTTTTAGTAGAGAAGAATTCAAATAGGAAAATATGTTATTGGAGTACATTTAAATGGATATATGCCTATCATGTCATTTGGTATGCAAATGCTTGTGTTTGCATTAAGCTGATGGAGAAGCTATTATTTTCTTTGCAGTATGTATTCAAAATTCACCTTTAAAAAATAAGAGCTTTCTTCTACTCTGAAAAAGAGAAAACTGTCTGTTATTTTATTTTAAATACAAAACACATTTAATTCTGTCAACAGCTTACATTTTAAATAATGTAGTTTGTACTTGCATTCATTATCTGCAATTAGAGTTCTCAAAAAGCTTTTAGTGTTTTTCTCCTCAACTTTTAAAATTCATTCATTGTTATTGTTAACATTTTAGAAAATAGTGGAAACCCTAAGTCACACTGGAAAACTGAACAAAGAAATTTCCTTCTGGAAATTACCATTGAACCGGGTAGAAAATCCTCAGCTATTGTGCTGAACCACATTTTGATGGGATATTTACACCCTTTTCTTGCTAGCTTTGGGTCAAGAATGTTTTCCTTTGAACCCAGACTAGTTTATAAAAAACGCCATGCTGGCAGCCAGCTGAGGATCCGTAGTTCATAAGGCTTAGTTTGTGCAGATTACTTGCTTACACAGGTCCTCAGCATCTAAATAAAGCAAGAGTTCAAGTCTTTTCTTCAGGGTGTATTTAGGAGAAAAGAACGCTTAGATACCCAGGGCTGTCTGGGATGCCTTTTCATCTCTCTCTGGTGGGGTCACATGTTCTCATTTCTTCCTTTGACTATTAGCAAGAAGAATACAGACAGCTGAGAGAGAAAGAGGGAGAGTGAGAGAGACTTGTTGTTTTGATATTTTTGGGTTTTTTTACCCTCTCTTTAAAGATGTAACTGCAACCAGGGCCCAAATGGTATGTGGGTTTGCAGGGTGTACAAACAGAGCCAAGCCTAGAAACACAAGGTGTGTCATCAATTCATTGACCTTACTGTTTGCCCAGCTGTAGGGTGACTCCCTTGTCATTCCCCAGCTGCCCAGCTGCTGCTTAACGCTGTTTTATTTTTCTTTTAAACTGCAGTAGCCAACCAGACTTCTCCTGGACAGGTTTGATAATTACTAAAAACAGATAACTTAGCAATTACACACAGCTCAGGGAAAGCTGCCACAACTTTGCGGTTTCGCCCTTACTTTGTTCTTGTTCAGCAATGCCTTTAACGTGATTTGCTAGCTTATGTTTTAAAGGGAAGACATCATCAGATTTTGTGAAAATAAGTAAAGGCTCTTCATTAACCCCATGTTTGACACTTCAAATAGTCACCTTCAGAATTTGCATTAAGTTGAACCATTCTTAAGAATGCACTGACTTTGCCTTTCCTTTTTTTTTTTTTAAGATTTTATTTATTTATTTGACAGAGAGAGAGATCACAAGTAGGCAGAGAGGCAGGCAGAGAGAAAAGGGGAAGCAGGTTCCCTACTGAGCAGAGAGCCCGATTCGGGGTTCGATCCCAAGACCCTGAGCCCAGGACCTGAGCCGAAGGCAGATGCTTTAACCCACTGAGCCACCCAGGTGCCCCTCCTTTTTTTTTTTTTTTTTTTTTTAAGATTTTTTATTTATTTGTTTGACAGAGAGAGATCACAAGTAGGCAGAGAGAGAAGGGGAGAAGCAGGCTCCCCGCCAAGGAGAGAGCCCGATGCTGGACTTGATCCCAGGACCCTGGGATCATGACCTGAGCCGAAGGCAGAGGCTTAACCCACTGAGCCACCCAGGCGCCCCTTTCTGCCTTTTCTATAACCTACCAATACAGCAATTTCATATGCTTCAACCTAAATAAATATATTCCACTGATGCTTCCAGTTCCCAAACTATTTTAAAATTCATCTTTTTGAAATGAAAAAAATCAAGTTCCTTACTTCCAAATGTTACATTAAATCTCTTCTAAACAACTACATTTCAGTTATAAAATTGACTCTGAATAATTTATGGGTTATTTATAAATGTAATAAAATCCATTTTAAGTGGATGAGAATTTGACATAATTTATGGGAAAGCACCACCACCGATGTTTGGATGCTAAGTTCTGGTATGTTCCTTGATATGTCTCTTGAATTGGAGTCATACCTTACCTATGTTGTCTCTTTTAAGCAGTATAATTGTGCTTAAAATAAACAAGGTTTAGAAATGGCCCAGATTTCTGACTCTGCTTATAAAAGCAGTTTGAAATATATTGGAAAACTGTGATTTTTGAGGTAAAATCTTTTAAAATCTTTGACCATTACTTTGGATCTACAAGTACAGGGATTATATACAGATATGATAGTTACTATAAGAGTAAATATACTTATTTAATATTTGAAAAAATGTTTATTAAAAAAGCATCCATGTTTTCTAAATGCTTTGAGAAATAACTATGTAGATCAAGTTTTTTTTTTTCCAGAACAGCAGAGTGTTAAATTGGCAATATGTGTCAAAAATCTTGAAAATGTGCAGATTGTCTAACTCTGCAGTTCTCCTTCTGAAAAATGTACCATAAAATTTTTTTTAATTTAAATTTTAAAAAAGAAAATGTACATGGAAAATTTGATCATTTTGTGCATAAATATTTCTGGGACAATAATAAAACCAAATGTCTAAGGATTTAAAATTTTATAATTTTTAAATTTTAAGTTTTTAAAAATTTTAAATTGAGAATCATTTATGTAAGTTTACAGCATACATGGAAAAGACACATTACAAAATTTTATTTTCTATATGTTCCTAAATATATTAAAATGTAACTTATGCATATCATTTCTAAGAGAAGAAATAAGATAGGATATATATCAAAGGTTTCAACACAGCTTCATTTATAAAGCAGAAAGTTGAAATATCCTAAAATGTTCAACAATAGGAAATTAGTCAAGCTATGTCCCAGTCTTATAAAGAAATATTATTCAGATTTTAAAATTGTATTTTAGAAGAATATTTAGTGATAGAGAAAAGTGTTCTGATATATTAAATGAAAAAAGGAGATAGAAGGGGCACCTGGATGGCTCAGTCAGTAAGCGTCATGATCCCAGAGCCCTGGGATCAAGTCCCCCATAGGGGTTCCCTGCTCAGTGGGGAGCCTGCTTCTCCCTCTTCTTCTGCCTGCAACTCCCCCTGCTTGTGCTCTCTCTCTGTCAAATAAATAAAATCTTTAAAATTTAAAAAAAAGGTTAAAAATTGTTAATATATTATGGTACAAATTTTTTTAAAGGAGAAATATGTGTCATTTTCAGATAAGCGGGGGGCACCTGGGTGGTTCAGTGGGTTAAGCCTCTGCCTTCGGCTCAGGTCATGATCCCAAAGTCCTGGAATCGAGTCCCGCATCGGGCTCTCTGCTAAGTGGGGCGCCTGCTTCCTCCTCTCTCTCTCTTTCTGTCTACTTGTGATCTCTCTGTGTCAAATAAATAAATAAAATCTTTAAAAAAAAAAAAAAGAGTGTGTGTGTGTATGTGTGTGTGTGTGTGTGTGTGTGTGTTTTCATAGGAAAAAGACCAAATGGCTGTACTAAAAATCTTAACAGTGGTTATCTCTGCTTTTTATTTTCTTTTTTGTGTCATATGTTTTCTACATTGAACATACAGTACTACTTTGTGTTCAGAAAAAGTTTTTTTAAACTGAAACTATGTGTGAACCTTAATATTTACATTTTGTATTTTGGCCAGTAGATTTCATGAAAAAAAAAAATCTCCTTAGTAAGAGCTGTACTAATTTGGAGTTTTTTTAGAAGTCCAAAACTGGGGTAAAATTTATCCATGAATGATGGTTTATTCTGCAGATTAATAAGGCAGAGATTTTAGAGAACACTTTTGAGCTTAAGAGAACTTTTCAAGCACACTGAAAGCATGCCTAAGACTCTAAATCATTTTTTCATCAAAGCCTGTCCCCTAAGTGCCTCTTCCTGGCAGGTGAATTTGCATATTTCTCTTTTCTTTACTTAGAAGCAATAGTCCATAATTCATCTATTTGACTAACAATCTGGCTCTCCCCCTGCCAGTTGGAAGGTGATATTTTTAACATATTCCTCACACAATGGCTTCCGTTCACTCTCGGAGTCACAGACCAGCATCTTGTAACAATTTGGGTCCCATTTTCGCAGGTGATGAAAACATACCATATGTATCACGCAGAGAGCATCAGTGCAGAGAGCAAGCTGAAGGAGGCTGAGAAACAGGAAGAGAAGCAAATCGGAAGGTCTGGGGATCCTGTCTTTCATATCAGACTGGAAGAGAGACATCAGCGGCGAAGCTCTGTAAAGAAAATTGAAAAAATGAAAGAAAAAGTAAGTGAAAAACATCACAGGGCCTTTCTGTCCTCACTTCGGGTGACAGTACTAAGAACACTGATGTAATAACCAATAGATGCACCTTGTAAATTATTGTGAAATGACACACATTTCCTCCCACAGGAATGAAAAATGTTTAAGAAACATAAAAATCATGTACTAACAGCTGGACATCGTGTAGTGTTGAAGGCCAAGTACTCCATATACAATGTGGGGAACTTGAATATTAACGAAGATGCTTCCTTGCAATTGGGCTTGAAGACCAAATACGTTGTTGGGTACTTTTAGTTATTTAAATCAGATTCAAAATGTACTTTTCTCAGAGGACTTCAGAGGTCATTGGCCTATGTGGAATACATTGTTTAGATTAGTAGAAAGTCATGTATCTCTCTCTGACTAAATGACTTTGTTGTCTTTCTCAATACCTGGCCCATCTCCATTTCCAGAGACAAGCAAAGTATTCAGAAAATAAGCTAAAATCTATTAAGGCACGGAATGAGTATCTCCTAACCCTTGAAGCAACCAATGCCTCGGTTTTCAAGTATTATATTCATGATCTTTCAGACTTAATTGATGTAAGTACTTGAAGTTTTTATATTTTCCATGTATTTTTAAAATGTTTTTAACTTTTTTTTTTTTTTAATGATCTCTACACCCAACTTGGGGCTCGAAGTAATGACCCCGAGATCAAGAGTCACTCACTTTTCCAACTCAGCCAGCCAGGCACCCCTATATTTTCCATAGTAAGATGTAATTAGCAGTAACTATATTTCATTGATTCGAAAACACCCTCATTTCTCAAACCAATGTTATTTTTTATAATACTCAGAAGGAAAAACTGCTGCCAGTTAAACCATACATGATACTGAAACACTATCAACTATAAGTTGCACGTGAAAAAGTGTGTATCCTACAACCAAAGAAAAGCAAATGATTAGGTTCTGTGAAACTATGAGTTCCTGGTAAACTCAGCTAGGAAAGGACCCAGTCATTTTTAAATTATGCAACGGCACAGCCCCAACTGCATTCATTAATTCAAAGTATATTTCTTGGGCCCTACTGTTGTTAGGTGCTCAGGCTGTGGAAGCATATACAGTTCTTTTTTGTTTTTTTAAGTTAAAATAATTAGTGAACGTAATAGTGTTATATGAGTTTCAGGAGTACAATATCATGATTGGGAGTTCAGTATCATTCCATACAGCAGCACTGGCTCATCACAAGTGCCCTCCTTAATCCCCCTCATCTATTTTACCCATCCGCCCACCCCCAAGCATATACAGAGCTCACCTTCAGGAATGCAAAGTGGAAAAGGCAGATGTTAAGCAAATGACTACAGACATGATAGCTTTGTTCCTGGTTGTGGTAAATACTGTAAGCAAAGTAGAGTAGACTTAAGCCACGTTTATAAATTTATCTAACACTGTACTTTGTCTCCAAGGATATGCTATCAAAAGCAGTAATTGGGCTCATTTAGAACTCTCCAGGCGTAGACACCTGGGTGGCTCAGTCCGTTAAGCATCTTCCTTGGGCTCAAATCATGATCTCAGTGTCCTGGGATGGAGCCCTGTGTCAGGCTTCCTGCTCAGCAGGGAGCCTACTTCTCTTCTCCCTCTGCCCCTCCCCTCCCTTCTCTCTTCCCACCTCTCCTCCCTCTTCCCTGCCCCTCTTGCTCCCTTGCCCTTCTCCCCACTGCTTGTGCACACACATGTGCACACGCATTCTCTCTCTCGCTCTCTCTCAAATAAATGAAAATCTTAAAAAAAAAAAAAACCCTCCAAGTATATATGTATACTATTACATCCACGCAGTGATTACTGCTATGATTCCCAATCTTTAACCCTCTGATCAGCTTTTCATTCAGAAAACCTCCAACACTGTAGGGCACCGCACAGGTGAAACAGAAATCCCAGTCCAAAAACATCCATCTCTTCAAATAAAAGGAAAAACTCAGTGTGTTGTAAGAAAAGCACAGAGAAGTAATAGAGGTTCAGAGAGTTATCTGATAGAAATTGACTCATGTGCTGCTTTGTATTGGTTGAATTCAACAGTTTTAAGATACAGTAAATTTTTTTTCCTGTGGCTCATAGTATCATAATTTAGATGTATAGTAGGTTAAAGCATTTTTATTTTTATGGTGAATGTTTCATGGATTTAGCTATATTAGAGCCACAGTTTGGGACTTTTGCAAAAGAATTGTTAAATAATGAAATTATTTTTTCATTTATTAACGCTGATGTGCCTCTTTTTTGAGTCTAAAAACAGTTTTCTCTCATACTATCACAATTTCTTTATACAGGACCCTTTAGTAAATAAAACCAGGGAAAATTTTTTTTCTGTTCATTTCATACAAGTATTTTAATCAAGTGATTAGTTTTCTTTTAGCTCTGATGAAATGAATTTTTTCTGCTAGACTGCTAGATTTTCTGAATAAAAATAAACAATTTTTATGACCCCTGTTTTCAATCTTATATTTGTAGGGATTCTGCAAAGTGTATGGAATATAGGACTAAATCTTTGTAACTACTTCACTTGGTTTTCTTTTGGTTTAGGGCTTATTTTTGGAGTACTTGGCTAGACCCAAGCCATTTTAACACAAGGAAAAGTCTGTATTGAAAAGCATTTTTGTACCACCTGCAAGGTACCAAGCACTGATTTTGACAGTGGGAATCCAGCAATGAACAAAACAAAGTTCCTGTCTTCAAGGAGTTAATGTCCTACTTGAGGCATCAGCTCAAAAACATATTTACATATATACAAACATTATATAGTAGTGACAATGCTGTAAATAAAAATAAAACCACTATCTGAGGGCTTCTTTTGATGGCATTCAGGAAAAGCCTGATATCTGAGCAGAGAAGTGAGCTGGAGAGCCACGTGGCTAGATAGGGAAGGAATCCCGCATGCAGAAGGCCGGGCAAGGCTCACGGTGTAGAGGCAGTTGTGTGTTTGGCAAGCTCAAGATGCTCAAGCAGCAGCAAAGCAGGAGGCCAGTATGGCCAGAGCAGAGTAAGTGAGGAGGAAGGTTCTGGAAGAGAATGTAGGCAGAAGCCCAGTTACTTAGGGTCTTTTGGATGGGAAAGGGGTTTAGATCGTGTCCTAAGTATGGTGAAAAGCCATTGATGGGTTTTACTCAGGGAAGTGACATCACCTGTTTACATGATAGAGACTCACTCTGGCATCTGGGTGGAAAACAGACGGAGGGAAGTGATGAGTGAAAACAACAAGCTCTATCTAGAGTCTTTTGCAATTGTCCAGACTAGAGACGAGACCTGGGGGAAGTGGTTAGTTGGATTCAAAATTCATTGAATAGGAATTTGATATAGTCGGTGAACAGAAGGGTAAACAGACTCCTCAGTTCAGGTCCTGAGTAACTAGGTTAACAGTGGTGCCTTTTCCTGAGGTGGGGACCCTGAGGAGATGTGGGTGAAAGGGTAGGAAGCAGCAGTTCTGTCTCTTGTAGTAGGAGTGAGATGCCAGTTGGTCATCTGTGTGGGAGATGACAGTAGCATTCCCAATACTACTGGCACCTATAGGACAGGATTAGCATTTCAGGAAAGTCATAATTGTCATGGATATTCATTGAGCTCTTACTATGTGACAAACAGGTTTCTAAGCATTATCTCATCAAACCATGTGAGGTAAATGCTATTTTGTACACTTGATTAAAGAACTGAGGCTTATGTAGGCTGGATAGTTTGTCCAAGGTCACACAGCTAGTAAGCAGTGGGCCTCATACTCAGACTTTTTAACCCCCAAATCTAACTAACTCTGATGTAAATAAATAATGGTTAAATGTATCAAGTAATTTTCAATTTTAAGAAAGGATGGACTTTTAAAAGATCAGCCTTAAATTTGAAATGGGAGTAATTCTCAAATAATACAACTTCATTATGAATTTTAAAAGAAATGGGTTTGTTGTCATATTCAACCGAAATTGAATCCTTGCTTAGTAAAAGTTATGCATTCATTAACTCACTTTTAAGGCGGTGAATGTGCACCTTCTAAAATGGTTGCTTACTGTGTGGGAATATAATTTGCATATATAGTGGTGATCCTAAAAACCATTAAGCTTGACCCTTCCTTGTGAAAAAGAAAGACTGATTATTTTGCAAAGGCAGCTAGAATCCTTTGCTTTGTGAGCTTATTTAACAAAATCACTTTTATAGTGAGCTATCTAATAATAATTGGAAGAGTTGTTGTATTTCTAATGAGAAAAAGTCAAGACGTTTTAATTTTGTTTTTATTTATTTTTTTATTAACATATAATGTATTATTTGCCCCAGGGGTACAGGTCTGTGAATCGTCAGGCTTACACACTTCACAGCACTCACCATAACACATACCTTCCTCAATGTCCATTACCCAGCCACCCTTCCCTATCCCCCCACCCCCCAGCAACCCTCAGTTTGTTTGTTTTTTTTTGTTTTGTTTTTTTAAGATTTTATTTATTTATGAGAGAGAGAGAGAGAGCGAGCACAGGCAGACAGAATGGCAGGCAGAGGCAGAGGGAGAAGCAGGCTCCCTGTAGAGCAAGGAGCCCGATGTGGGACTCGATCCCAGGACGCTGGGATCATGACCTGAGCCGAAGGCAGCTGCTTAACCAACTGAGCCACCCAGGCGTCCCAACCCTCAGTTTGTTTTGTGAGATTAAGAGTATCTTATGGTTTGTCTCCTCCCATCCCATCTTGTTTCATTTTTTCCTTCCCTACCCCCCACAACCCCCTGCCCTGCCTCTCAGATTCCTCATATCAGAAAGATCATATGATAATAAGACAACGTTTTTAATGCTTGACATTTTATATGTGAAATGAAATGGAAGATAACTAAATGTGTCTTGACTGAATCAAAGCAATATAATAAGAATTCAAATTGAGACCTTTATATACACCTCTCATTTCCCTTGGTTTCTACTGATGTCAATAATCTGTCTCTTTTCTTACAAATATCCTGGGATAGACTGTGATAAATGGATCTATTGGTATTTAAAAAAACAAAAACAAAAACAAAAAAAAAGTAAAATAAATAAAAACAAAAAAATTTTTAAAAGTCATATGAATTTTCCATATGACTTTCCAGAGGATTTGTATTTTATTATTTATTTATTTTAAAAAAGATTTCATTTATTTATTTGAGAGAGAGAAAAGGGCATGAGCATGAGTGGGGGGAGGGCAGAGGGAGAGGAAGAAGCAGACTCCTTCTGAGCAGGGAGCCCAGTGGTGGGTCTCAATCCCAGAACCCTGAGATCATGACCTGAGCTGAAGGCAGACATTTGACTGAACCACCCAGGCCCCTAGAATTTGTATTTTAAAACCAGTCTTTTTATTATCACAGAATTAGTACATGTACATTGTAGAAAATTAGGGAAAAAATTATAAGCAAAAATGACATGATCACATTCTTACCATCTCAGATCATCACTGTTAACATGTAGACTTTTTCGTGTCCACATACATGTACATTTTTATACCAGAGGAGTATGAAATCATATTTTATATACAGCTTTTTAACCTACTCTTTTCGATCATTGACGCCCATCTTTCCATTTCAGAAAATTTTGAACTCATCTAATAGCCAA